TTTAGTTGTTGTCTTTGAATATATTGCATCATTTCCGGTTGTGGTCAAACATGATTACAATGGTTTTAGTATTCTAATTTAGTAACTTTAAATCAATGCAAGAAAAATGAGTAGTCTCAGTATTGTTTATAATCAAGTAAATAGTACTTTATTTAATCATGTAAATAAGAGAAACATGAAAGGCTTGTGTAGCATTAACTAAATTCATTTGTGCAAATTCAAAAGCCTCCCAATTCCCATTTTTTCAGTGTGGTCTCCTACACTCCTCTCATTCTGGATCCCAAACACTGCTCATCCAAACCTCATCATGTCTGAAAATCTGACCAGTGTGATAGGAGGAGAAAGACAACAGCTTCCTGATAATCCAGAGAGGTTTAATGATTCCTGCTCTGTCGTGGGCTCTGAGGGCTTTAACTCAGGGAATCACAGCTGGGATGTCGAGGTTGGAGACAGTATACGGTGGGGACTGGGTGTGTTTGCAGAGTCTGTGCAGAGGAAGGGAATCATACTGTCTGGATTATCGAGAATAAGGTTCTATGAAAGTAAATACTATGCACGCTCACCATCAGCTCCTCTCACTGCTCCAGAGGATCAGAGTGAACAGAGGACAGCTGTCGTTCTCTGATCCTGATACTAACACACACATACACACCTTCACACACACTTTCACTCACAATATGTTTCCATATATTAACACTTAACAATAAAGCCAATGTGCTGTTGTTGAAAGTACAGTGTTAGTGGAGCAGATGACTTGAGGATGATTATATTTCTAATGTTGTTTCCTGTCAGTGAATTGAAGCTGTGAAGCTGAAGCAATGATTCATGTTTAACTCCATATATGAAATGTTTCTGATATTTGATTAAAGACTTTCTTCATGACAGAAATTAGATTTCAGTACATTAATAAAACTAAATAAGATCAGAGTTGAAAGGTTGAATTATTATGTATGTGCTTCATTGTCAGTATCTTTGGGGGGATTCAAAGTTATGAGATAAACTAGTGTAGAGGCATGTAGAGAAAAATATCCGAGCTTTATTTTGTTTCAAATCGGAGGAACGGCTAAGACGGCTTCACATGGAAACGTCAGCAGGAAGTTTATAATGACGGAGCTTGTTTCATCAGCTCATTTTTCCTTCATTTACAACAGAAGAAGAACTAAAATTGTGTGTGGATTCAGAGCGCTCGCTGTCAGAACAAATAAAGGAGGGGAACGGCTTTAAAGCAGCAAAGCGCTGTTTTTAGAACCGTATTTGTTATATGCATCTTATGTCCCACAGAAGTCAAGATTTGAAGATGAAATTGTTTTATAGCTGTAAATTCAGTGTGCACAGTGAAAAGCAGAGGGGAAAAACTATGATTACAAGAAAACACATATGCAGGAAGTAGCCACTTCATTAGGTACACGTGTTAAACCCGCAATAGAGCAAATATCTATTCAGATAATCACATGACAGCAACTCGGTGCATTTGGGGATGTAAAGATTGATCAAGATGACCTGCTGAAGTTCAAACTGAGTATCAGAATGGAGACAAAAGGTGATGTAAGTGACTTTGAACATGTCATGGTTGTTGGTGCCATGCAAACCAAAATCTTTAAGGAATAAAGTGGCTGGTGAGTGTATGTAGACATATATTTAGTATAGAACATTTTAATTACACACATTTTATTCTTACATATAAACAAATGCTCAGATTCTCTCACTGCTGTTTATATAGGTTTGCTGCTGTTTTTATTAAAAACTGGAGACTAAATTTGAGATAATTAAAGAATGGTCAGTCGAGGGGATTCACTTTAATGTGATCCTGTTCGGTTAGTTTCACACTGCACATTAAAAGGTGTTAAAATAGTATCCATTAATGTAACATTTGTTTTGTATAATTTTAAGTGAACCTGTTGGGGGGTTTTTTTGGTTTTGTTTTGTTTTTTTTTATTTACCATTGCTGGTGGAACAACACTTTCTTCAAGTGAATCACTTTTCAAGAAGAACTTAGACATCAGTGTAACATTTTGGAAAAACTGAATCTTTTGAGCTTTAAATGAATTTATTAACTGATGGGCTGGCTGTGATGTATATGCCACGGCCACCACTAGAGGGCACCATGAGTGTCTCATTTAGACAAACTGTGCGGTCACCACAGGCAGGTACATACCGGAATTTTGAAAGCACACCTCAAACAAACCAACACTGTGATCATTTTAGTCTGGTGTATTATATTTTTTATTTTTCTCTTTTATATCTGAAAGTATTTTATATATTTTATGGTTTAATGTAACTCTCTGACGGACTGTGGCTTTATATTAGCTGTATGTGTGCTAAATTTTGGAAGTTACATCTTACATGTTTACATGGATGTGTTAATGCTGCGTTGTTCAACCTGCTTCCCTCAGGGAAGTGCTACAGGTGCATCAGCACAAAGACTGACAAACTCAGGAACAGTTTCTTCCCAAAAGCCATAACCACCCTGAACTCACACAAGCACCAATAACACGGTTCCACCCCCATTCCAAAGACTTCCCTCTATATACCACCACCACTGTGAAATAACCCAAACTGTAAATACACAACATTATTTATCCATCACATATTTATTTCCTCTTTTTTTTTCTAGATTTGTATATCTGTACACAAACACACACACATAGAGGTGCGAGCCCCTTCTTCTCCAACATGCTCTGTATCTCATCGTACATCTGCATAGTGACAATAAATGCCTTCTATTCTAATGTGCACTGTCGCTTCAGAAATTAAAAAGAAAAGATGTGTGAGACATCACCGTTTTTTTCACACGAAAAGTTTTCATATTGCTGTCCTTAATCTGCGTTTATCTGCTAAAAGCTCATTTAACACAAGCTTTCAGCTTTCAAATCATTTTTCCCTCCTGTTTTGATGAAATCTGATATTTCCCAGTAGTGTTTGAACGCGCCATTGGACCCCCTAAAGCGCTGTCCTTGGTGCTGAAACGCAAACACCCCAAACTCTCCTCCTCCTCTTCTCTATTCTCATCCAGATGTAGTTTCGTATCCTGCCAGCGCACTGAGGTCGCGCGAGCATCGTGACATCATTATTATTCGTCTCCAACAAGCAGCACGAGCCCGCGCGGGTGTCTCGTGCTCAGGGGGGCGTCGCGGGGATCGCTCGTAGGTGGCGAGGGCCGACGTGCTGACGTCACTCAAATAACGTGAGGCTCCCCTCCCCGCCGAAGATCGTTTTCGTATGAAAGATGGAGGCTCCGAGGACAGAAATCAAAACAATGAACGCGAAATTAACTTGTGCAGGGATTCCAGAAACTTCATCAAATATCTGCAAAAGCTCTTTTTGATCACAGCAACATTTTCTGAGTTCTTACAACTGCTTCTTTTTGGTTTTCCCCTGAGTTCAGTAAGTCTCCATGGTGTTTTGTTTTGTTTTGTTTTGTTGCTCAGATATTAGTGTTGTTTGTCAGGAGAGATAATTAAAACTTCAGAGCAAATATTACTTCTGTGGTTTTGTTTCCTGTCTGATATTTGAGTTCTGGTCACTGTTTGATGGTATTTCTTCTTTCTTGTATTGCTAGGTCTTTATGTCTTCCCCATGTGTTCTGTGTTTCTTTGTTTCTGGCTGCAGTCAAACACTCATTTCTTCTTAGAAAGGTTCCTAACCCATTAAACTGTCCCCAAAGCACCTCTGTGGCAGTATATTCTCTAAATACTCAGGAGACAAACTCCCTTTGTTACCTCCTTTGGTAGAGGACACACTGGACCTTAAATCGTCAGTGCTAATGCTCAAATATAGTAGAGAGGCTGCATTAATTACCCACCATGCCCACAGCCAAGTCAGGTTAATTTATAAGAAATTGATAGGGCTGTCAGACAGTGTAAACATTTGGGTGAACTGGCCCTTTAAATAATCCAGAGGAGAAAAAACAAAACAAAACAGAGTAAAACACCTCAGATCATCTTAAAATCTGCTGCCTGTGGGGCTCAGAAAAAATGTTTATTAGTTGCTGAATAAGATAGATAGATAGATAGATAGATAGATAGATAGATAGATAGATAGATAGATAGATAGATAGATAGATAGATAGATAGATAGATAGATAGAAGGGATAGGGAAATAATTTCTTTAAGGATTAATAAAATATTCCGATTTTGACGATTTTAATTATTCCTGATGTTCTTGTGGGAGATCTTGAGAAGCATCCCCATATCTTCTTGGAGGTTTGGTGTGCCCAGAAAAAGCTCTAAAAGTTGAAGGTTTCACATAAATACCACAAAATTTAAGTGACTAGAGAGGTCACAATATTTAAGATCCACACAATATTAATAATAACCACTACTGTGAATGCTAAAAAAAAAACCCCAAAACAAAACAAAAAACTGTTAAAATAAAAAAACATCAAGTCAGTTGATGTGTAAGAAATAATTTCTTATTCAAACTGTGACTGTGAGTGACAGCTCACCTGTCTTAGGTGTAGAGAAACAGATATACTGACTTACAGTGATCCTCTCTGAATAATGCAGTAGTAACTGTAGCTGCAGCTGCTGCGCCACAGTGTGAACTTATGTAAATGTCTCACTTTGGAGAGGCACCTCTGGGTCCTGTGAAGCTGCGGGGATTTAATGAACATAAAACTCCAGCTTCCGTTAGTCTGCTTCACTGCTAAACCTCTTCATGATGTCACACTGACACATCTGTGCACATCTGCCAAATCAAACACATGAGCTGTATGCTGGGCTCTGGCTGAACTTTATGTTGAGACTAAACAAGCTTGTTTTCCCATTGAAGTCCAGCTTTTAGTTTTGGTCTCATCAAGCATGTGATTGAATAGAGAAAGTTTTCCATGAGCCATAAACTGAGAGCTGGACATCCTGGTTTATAAGCACATCACATCACTGGTGGACAAAAGGGCAAAAGAATAAGATCATAAATATGAAATGAGTTTTTAGTGCCAGCATGAAGAGGCTGGTGTGATCCATTTTCTCATTAGAGGATCTTTGCCCTTCCTCTTCCTCCTCTCCTCCTCTCTCTCTCTCTCTGACTGAAAATAGATCCAGCTGGGTTTGGTTTGGCGATCAGCGGCTCGCGTTTCCACCACATTTTCCTCCACAATAAGCGGACAGTACCGACTTTAAAGCGAACCGGAGGATTTACCGCCGTCTCTTCGGGCTCCACCTCGCTCCCGTCCCAGGCTCCGTGCTGTCCGTGCAGCTTTCACATAAATATTTCACACACCGTTTCTCTGTGGTTGCTGCCTCCGCCGCTGAAGTGATGTCTGTCGCGGGGTTGAAGAAGCAGTTCCATAAAGCCACCCAGGTAAGAAGAAGCGAGAGACCCGCTTCCTGTTTCCCTTTCCCTTCCTGTTTCCCTTCATTTCTCTGCGGAAAAAAACAAACAAACCTGTGGACGCACATAAATCCACTCATATCAACAAAAACACTTTTAGTCTTTAATGAAATCACGTTTATTCCGTTAAAAGCAGCGAGTTAGTATTAAAAATCTACATTTTACCTCATTCAGATGTTTTTAAATTTGTTTTTGTGTAAAGAACTGTCTGATTATTTTCCTCAGACAAAAACGAGATTTGTGTGTAAACTATTCAGATTTCTCGCGATGTTTTGTGTGAATTAAAAGCGGGGTATGCCCCCCTCAAACACACACACACACACTGAGAGGTTTGCATGTAATGTTATGTAACACTGTGTGAGCTGAAAGTGTGTGTGTGCAGCTGATTGGCTGTTGATCCACGCAACAGGGAATTCCCTCCTTCCTCCTTCACATCCCTCCATCTTCTTCTTCTTCCGCCATCTCTCCATCCTCTTCATCTTCCTTCATCCTTTTTAAAAAATCTACATACCTCTAAAATACAAACTTCCTTCATCATCCTCTTCCTTCTCCTTCATCCTTCCATTCTTCCTCCACACTTTCTTCGCCTCTTCGTGTTATTGTTATTCATCCCTCCTCTATAACGCTGCTTCATCTTTCTCCTTCTTGTCCTCCTTCTATCATCTTTTCCATCTTTCACCCATCCCTCCTTTTCTCTCTGTGCCTCTTGCATCACCTCCTTCTCCTGATCTCTCCTCTGTTTACTTCCATCCTCTGCTTCTTTCTTATCCATCCCTCCATCCACATTCTGTTTTCCTTCCTATCCCTCCATCTTTTTCTTCTTGCTCCAATCCCTCTATCACTCCATCTTTCCCATCCTGTCTCCTTCTCCACACGCTTCTTTTTCTTTTTATCCATCCATTACCAACCCAACATCTTTTAGCTTTAGACACCTGAACATCCCCTCTGCTTCTTTTTCTTCTTTCTCTTTTTACTTTTAAATCTGTTTTTCAGTCCTCCCTTCATCTTTTCCTCCACTCTTCCTCATCCTCCTGTTCTTTGAGACGTTCCTCCACCTCTTCTCACTTCTCCCCCTCCTTGTGCTATTTTTCTGTCTTTTAACATCCCCTCATCCACCCTCTGATCATCATTTTAATCCATGTTTCCTTTATTCTTTCTTCCTCCTACACTCATCCTCTGCTCCTAGATTTCTTCGCCATCGATCCTTCTGTTTAATCTTTTTTTCTTTTTTTCTGATCATCATGCCTCCATTTTTCATTTTCCACTTCACATCCACCTCCTACCGCCCTCCATCATCTGTCCATCATTACAGCATAATCATAACTCGGGCTCAGATTTCAGTTTCATTAATGATTAGGATTTATTTTTAACACTTGCTGACATGTTTTTGTTTGGAGGCTTTTGGGGGAACCGCTTTAACCTTTCAGCCTGTTTTCTGGTGGTTGAATCTGAATGTGAGATGAATACAAAGAGTGAAGCACAAACAGACAGACAGACAGAACCTGTATGACCCGGCGTCTGTCCGTCCGGCCTCCTCCCCACAGGATTCCTCGCTCATCATGTCGGCTGTGGAGTGATGTCGGTCGTGCTGGCAGCTCTGTGAGGCTGCAGATGGAAAAGTGGCAGGACTTTGAGCTGAATGGTCATGTGTGTGAAAAATAGTAAGGGACAGGAGGAGGGGGGGACTCGGGTTCCTTATATTGAAGTTTGTTAGGGCTGCAATTATTCATCAAGTAATTTGATTAAATAAATTCTTGACCCAAATTCTTTGCTTCAGTGCTTAGTTTAACGCATGGCTCTGTTGCACCCTGATGTAATAAACTATGTAAACTAGAGTGTTTCACCTACATTTGAGACTAAAAACAGACCTGCAATAGATATGTATTTAGGAGTAGCGTATGATTAAAAAGTTGAACAACATCAAGGCCACAGTGCCCCAAATTTCAGGCCGAGTGAAGGAAAACATCCAAAACATCAGCGGTGTTCCTGCACTCACCTTTTACATTTTCAGTCCTTCGTTAAATCACCTGATCAACAAACTCCAACATGAAGAAAAGCAAACTTTTTACTCCTCCATCCACCACCGTTTGTTTTATGCTGAGAAAAATCAGCAGTAAGCCTCCAGAAGTTGTATTAAAATATACAAAACTGTTAACTTAGTCACACTGGTTTAATTAGACAGCTTCCTGAAGGCTGACAGCAGCTGTCCTGTTTTACATGGAAGCGAACAGAGCTGAGTCTAAGAAGGGCATAGGGTGTATTGCAAAGCTTTCGTAACATTTTTCAGATTGAAAGTGAAACAATATCAAATTGGACACTGTCTGTTGGACACTGAATTATTATTAATTATTAACATCTACACCATTTTTTCAGCAGCACAAAAAAGTTGCCTCCCATTAAAAGGGAGTTTTACCTTCCCACTTTCGCCAAAGTGCTTGCTAATATGATTGTTGTTGTTTTTTCTGTATGTATTATTGTAGGGTCTACCTTACAATATAAGTCGCCTTAAGGTGACTGTTGTTGTGATTTGCCGCTAAATAAAACTGAAATAAAATTCAATTAATGTCAGAAAACCTTAAAAATAGACAGTAAAGGTAAATATTTATGCCTTAGTTCAGATTGTTTATTTATCTTATTATATTTGATTTGACCTTTGACTGTACTTGAGATTTTTTTTATATATTTTTCCATTTAAGAAAATGTTTTCTTTAAAAAAAAAAAAATTTAATATGGTGCGTTTATACAGTCAAAGGGTTTAGTTATTTTGTTTTTTGAGATGTTGGTTGCAGTTAAACGTTTAAAAATTGCAATTTCTAAAATGGAAACCAATAAGCAGTTCATTTTGAAAGACTAGTTTTTTCTCTCTTGAATATTTACTATTGCTCATTAATAAGACAAAAAATAGTTTTCATCTGATTACTTGATTAATTGGTGGAATAATCAATAGATTACTCGATTGCTAAAATAAACGATAGCTGCAGCCCTAGAGCCCAAGCAACAAGCCTCCACTTGAGGCTGTGTCTATGTTTAGAGCCTGGTTACAAAAACCGTGTTAGCCCCTGTGGATGGTTTCACTTTCATAATAACTGTGCTTCCATAGCTCCTACATTTGGAAACTGAAGAACAGGGCGGGGCTCTTAATTGACAGCTAGCTCACCTGAACTAATTAAATCGTGGAAGTGGACCTCTCCACTACATCTGTGGTGCCATTTTAATGGAATTACATAACAAATTTCCTCCACTGTGTGGTTCACACCATCAGTTCTAGTATTTTATTAATCTGTAGTTATTATTAGTGTTCATTTATTGGTGGGGCTTGCTCATAAGCTCACCAAGCTTGCTGATAACTACACCATGCTTTAAGGTTGGGGCCCAATCTTCTTCCCTTCACCTCCAACTAGTCACCGCTGTTCCTCCCTGCACCTGGTTCAGCTGGAGGGTTCTTCCTGTTAAAAGGGAGTTTTTCTTCCCTACTGTCACCACATCATTTGGTCAAAGGGGCCGATGTGATTGTTTGGGTTTTTCTCTGTTTTCTCGGTATTATTGTAGAATCCTTGCAATAAAGTGTTTGACCCTGTGAAAGTAAAGCAAATTATAAGGTTGTGTTGCGGGATAAAGATCTTGGGGAGCAAAGATGGTCAGATTGATTTGCCATTAGCTCTCAAGTAACTGTGGGGGTTTGTTTCAGCTTGTTATTATGAATGCATTCATTTCCTGTTCTCAGAATTGTTAGATTAATTATTTTAGTTCAAGATTCCAGATTCAATGTGCCTTGATACCATTCATGTCAACACCTGTCCATTTAAACAATCCCTGCAGACCTGGGCTCGCACTGTTTCCTCTTTGACATTAATGAATCTGTGTAGAGTGTCTTCATTGATCCAGAGTTAGAGAAAACAGAAGGAAGTGTGGTTTGTTTTTTAATCTGGTTTGACTTTAAATTACAGTTTAATTAACAAGTACACTTAACCCTTCTCCACAGCCCTCCTCAGGGACAGTGGTTGGTTATTGATTATTGGCGATCTCGCAGCAGGATGACGGCAGGAGCAGGTCAACAAACCCGAGTATCCAGTTGTACCTTCAGTTGTACGGGTCGATTGAGGCTCAGGAGGTGAAGCTGGAAGGTCGGAGTTATAATAACCCAGCTCCTCTAGTCAAAGTGTCATCGGGAAACAAGCTGAACAACAAATTGCTTAGCGTGTGCTTGTCACTGGAGCGCTTCCCCTTTTCATTGAATGCTTGTGGTTTGTATCTTTCAGAGGCCAGTCTTTAACCTCCACTGACAGTGTTGCACACTACAAAAATGGACTTTGTGAAAAATGTTGCAGAATTTCTATGCATAGTACCAATTAGTATTTTTTTTATATGTGACTGGGGAAAGACCACAGTTGCACAGTGCATTTCTAGTCTTACTCAAAGTGGTCAAACAACTTCTAACTTGTCTATAAATTAAAGGGACTTCCTCTCTTACTGCTGCTTTTACTGCTCTTACTAATGCAGCTGATGCCCCTGCTGCTCCTATACTTATTAAAACAGCTCTTATTCCGATTATTTTGCAAGAAATATTAACAGCTAAGTGTCTGCAGAGAGTCACTGTAAGACACTTTTACTGCTGTAGCTGGTAGTGGTGCTATAAACACTTGGATAGTCACGCGCTGTTAAGGTTCATAAATTGGAGACATCACAGACGATTACCAGAGAGGAAAGAAGAGGAAATAAAATTGTGACACACAAATTACTCTTATCTTTGCTCTTCTTTGGTAAATTAATGTGTCTGTGCTTGTCTGGGCCTCCCACTGTTCTTAAAGAGAGTCGAAATCAATGAAAATGTTATTAATATGACATTTTCATGCAGTAATCTGACCCCGAGGGCTTCACTAATGTCATTAAAAAGTGTAAAAAATAAAATAGGAGGAAGAGAGAGAGGAACAAAAACAGCCGATCGATGTTGTCCATGTTTGCTTTCCGTC